CTCACCTACCATCCCAGGTTGAGTTCCTCTAAGAGATGAATGTTGTTTTTAACCCTCAAAACTGGGCCATGTGCCTGGTATCTGGTGTGCATTTACTAAAATATCACTTGAATGAACATGGTCTAAAATGTAACAACTTCATGATCAGCAAATTAAACATTACTTAATAGGCTGTTATTTATGCTTCCTACAGATACGGATTTCTGTCTTTTTTAAAAGAAACAATTCATTAACCTTCAGTATTCAATTTTACCAACACATGAAAGGCATAAGAGAACAGCTATGTACATTTCAGGGCAATTTCACTGATTAACTGCAATTTCTGTTAGAAGCCATCATGCCACGTGAAATGGTCTACAGTACCACAAACTATCTTTAGTGAAGACTTTTTATGCATTTATGTTGACTTCTTTCTCATTTTTATCTGGGCAGTAATTTTACAAGGAACATGAGGATTTTGTACAAGTTATACATAATGGGTTTTCTCCCCCTATAGGTTATAATAAACCGACTGGCAAGAGAGGGCAGAGTTGTCCTAGACATAAAAAAAAAAAAAAAATCTGTCCCTGAGCTGAACACAACAACAAACACAAACACCCGAAACCCCACAGCTTCTCTTTCACATCCATATGCCTGAGTCATCGCTGTGTGGTTTTACTTGGATGCAGACATCCAAGACATGTTCATAATGCTGAAGGGTTGGTGGTACTTACATAAATTAATCCAGAATATGTAATTGGCCAAGACTGATTCATCTTTCACAGCTCTGCCAGGAGAAAAATGTGCATGAATTTTGAAAGGAGTGTGTGCACTGCTTTTTCTGAGCCTCTGAAATTCTCCTTTGAAATAGCAAAAGTCTCTTATTTCCTTTTTTTAAAAAAGATTTTATTTATTTATTTGAGAGAGAGAGAGCACATGGTCGGGGGAGTGTCAGAGGAAGAAGCAGACTTCCTGCTGAGCAGGAAGCCTGATGTTGGACTCGATCCTGGGACTCCAGGATCATGACCTGAACTGAAGGCAATCGCCCAACCAACTGAGCCACCCAGGCGCCCCATCATTTCCTCATCTATTGATTTGGTTTATATGCTTCAGTGGATTTCAAAGTGCTTTCCAAGCACAAAGCCATCCTTGGGTTTGTTCTCAACCTCAGGTGGCAGTGGAATCAACTTTTGCAGGAAAAACGAAAAACAAAACCCCCCACCAAAGCTGCTTAAAGTCTCTCAAATGCTCTAGGAAGCAAAGTTAGCAATTAAAAAACAAGAGTAAAACTCGTCCTCGGATTATTCACTTATGCACTGTGGCTTTTTCGGACATAAGTAAAACAAAATCTGATTTGGAGACAGTCCAAGATTAGGACAGAAATTAATTTCACAGTGAAGCTACAAGTTTCAGTTTCAAGCAAATATTTGTCATCAGAATGAATGATAATCTTTCCAGGGACTTTATTTCTAGTATGTTGGATTTTTCTACTATGACTTTGAGCTCTCTTTCTACAGATGGGGAACGAATGTTTGCTTATTTCCTTGTCAGGGTGGGCAGAGTCCAGGCAATCGAGGAGGGCTCAAGGGGCCTGCAAAACTCCATGTTTACTGTTCATATTTTCTTTATCACTTCTTATGTTTAGGTAAAAATGTTTTTTTTTCCTGAGTTACCATGGAAAGATTTCGCACTAAAGTTTCTCCCATATTTTTTTAGCGACCTCTCTTCCCATCCCGAAATATAGATTCAATCAATATAGAAGCATGGAAAACCCAAGAAGTATGACAAATCTAATGTAATTTTACAAAGATGGTGGAGGCAGGCTTGATGGTGAAAGGGGATGGTCCAAATTTGTGAAAAAAATTTAATTACACTCTAAAAGAATGTTTTATCACTTTAAAGAACAGAGAATACTTCCCTTAACCCATTTAATTTTTTTTCTCTTATCCCATTTTAAAACAGGATTAATAAAAAAACCCGGGGCACCTGGGTGGCTCAGTCGTTAAGCATCTGCCTTCAGCTCAGGTCATGATCCCGGGGTCCTGGGATTGAGCCCCGCATCGGGCTCCCTGCTCGGCGGGAAGCCAGCTTCTCCCTCTCCCACTCCCTCTGCTTGTGTTCCTGCTCTCACTGTGTCTCTCTCTGTCAAATAAATAAATAAAATCTTTAAAAAATTAAAAAAAAAACCCAAACCCAAAACCTGCTCCTATTGGTGACAATACCTAGCAGTTCTGTTCTTTAACTGAGTGGCCTCCGCATGCAGTCCTAAAACAGCCTACTACAGGTCCTATTTTGCTACTAGCAAGTATTTTTGTATCTAAACCTTATTTTATTTAAATGACTAATTTAGTACCATGCAACAATTTGCACATGCCTGTTAATTAACTATTACAGAACTCTGTGCCCACAGTTACAAATTAGGCACACATTTTTGCTAGATTACACATCTGAGAATTCTCTTCCGGGTCTTTTGACTAAGTTGTTCTTCAGGAGAGAAAAAAGATGCGTAGTGGGTTGCTCAGAACATTGAAGGTGAATTTATAGACCAAATCTTCTACGACCTTTTTTTAAAGATTTTATTTATTTATTTATTTGAGAGAGAGAATGCGCACGCACACTCGAGAAAGAACATGAGCGGGGGGAGGGGCAGAGGGAGAAGCAGACTCCCCACTGAGCAGGGAGCCCAATGCAAGGACTTGATCCCAGGACCCCAAGATCATGACCTGAGCCAAAGGCAGACATTTAACTGACTGAGCTACGCAGGTGTCCTTTGTGAACTAATTCTTGATGTTAAAGTGCATCTCTTACTCTGGGTTGTGACTTTAGAAAATATGAAATTTAACTATGCTGAAATCAAAAGCAATAACAATCTGATTCTAAAGGGCTGGTGTTAGAGCTTAATTTTTTAAAGTTATGTATATTGACTATCATAAAATGGAAGATACATGTTGGCCCATGGCTAAATATTCTATTTTTTTAAATTCATGTTAAAAGGAGAAACTCATTGTAAGATTAATCTCCCTTCTGTCAGAATGATAGAACTCACAACAACAAAAAGAATGTAAACACAAAATCTCATTTATTTTTGTCTGAAGCACAAAGGAGCTCACTCAGCACATGAACAGGAAGCAAATCATACAAATATTGAATAAAAATGTCCCCATGAATACACACATATATAGCCTTAAGGGCAGCAATCAGGAGTTTAACATACAATGTAAGGTGGTTTTTGATACAGAATGCTTTCTGACAGGCTTTTGAACAGGAAATAAACAGGTAAATCAATGCCCCGTGACATCTGTTCCTCAAGCACCCCCTGGACACTGAAAGCCGTCTTGGAATTTACACTAAGTTCCATCACTGGCCTGTTCAAGTTTTGCATTTCCGTAAATTTGGACCGGATTTACAGACTAACCCCTCAGCTCTTGACCTTCGGGGCTGTGGGCGGGAAAGGGAGAGGCTGGGCGGGGAAACATGCATGGGGTCCAATGTTAGGGCTTTCCAGGAGTGTCTGTTCATGTGTGCACTTCTTTCTACACTTTTCCTTTAGAGACACTGAAAAGGGTCAGGGTCCAAAATCATACCTAAAGGGGCTAGGTAGATCTGAAGTTGCAGATATCTCTTCTAAGTCTTAAAAAAGAAAGAAAACTTAAAAATTTGTGTACAATCCACGTAATTTGAAAATTATCTCAAGACATTGCCATGACACATTTCTTAGTCTACTTTTTAAAAACTCAGAATGCTCCTTTTAGACGTGTGAATGTGTCCAGTAGTGGCATCAGCTTTAAAAAATGGACAATGGAAAGATGTCCACTAGGCTACAGAAGCATCCAGTTCTAGATATCTTCTGTGTACGCACAAGGTGGAATGGATACAACGTGCCTTCCAGCTTGCCTTGAAAGCTTTCTATATGTGTAGTTCTGAGGTGGAAAGATTAAAAATAGGAAGAGTCTGGAGGGGAGTGAATATTCAAAATACGTTGCCTCTGTGACATCTCAGCTGTAGTTGCCAACAGGGATACTCAAGGGCACAGTTCAAAATCAGCTAAGCATAATGGGAATGTTTCCAACCACTTTCCTCCCCTTGCCATGCAGAATTCTCAGGGAAGTGAAAAAGAGATTCAGTGGGGTTCAATGCTCACAATAGTAACTTAGAAAGACCTCCTCCCGGCATGAAGGGAGCTAGGTCCAAGATATTCTCTTGGATTCTAGAACCTTCGACAATGAAATCAGAGAAGGAGCTGCTAAAGGGGACAGAGTCTCAGTCTCAGGTTACGATTACCAGGACAACCTCTCAGGTCCTAATCCCATGTTCCATTCCCTTTTGGATATTAAATTCACTTAAGCCGATTAGCCTGCTTTTGTGTTCTGTTGTAGAAAATATCTTTTAAACGGAGGACTGTCAGCACTATTAACTCAGTTTTTACCTGTTAAAGTGTATTCCATTAAAAAATACCATGAAACCCGAGGCAAACAGTGCAGGGCGAGGTGAGGGGGCTGATAAGAAGCCTTCACTCTTTCTTTCCTGTCAGAGAGCAAAATATTCGAACATAAAGTGACAAATAGGGTTGGCTTGAAATACCGCCTCTCCACAATTCAGAAAGTCAAGCCACATTAGGCCAAGCCAACGTTTCAAAGTGTAGAGCATCTGACCACATGTACGGCCAATGCCTGCAATATTGCACAAAGCCGACCAACATTCAGGACCGCTGCACCTGGAGCCACGAAAACACTTAAGTTCTAAGAGACACAGGGAGAGCGAACTACACATAAACATTTCAACACATTCTATTTTTACTAGAAAAGATAGTCAGGTCTTAACACACTCCCAGGGCTAAATGTAATGTTTGACAGACTGGTTGTAGATGGCCACTCTTCTTGCTGAGGCCGTGACTATTTATATACACTGCATGTGAATCTTTCATCTAAATGAAAACTGATGCTCAACATCAACATGTACGTCCTTCAGGAAGGGACAAATGTAGGATCTTGCAAAGGCTGGGAATACAGCTGCTACCTATGGGATGATCTCACATCTTATCCAAATTCTTAAGCCCACTCCTATGGGTTAGATGCCAGGTAACCATGTTCCTTTGGCCCCTGGAAGCTGAATTTACTGAGTTACTTAATATCCCACAACACAAACTGTGTGTTTTAAATAAGATCAAATTATGTGTCAACTATATTCAAATAAGAAAAATTCTTAAAAAAATGAAAATAAGACCAAAATTGTGTTCTATCATTAGGTGTTGTGTGCACACAATCAAATCTAAAAGTGTTTCCACCAGGAAAAACAGAAAACAAAATGTGGGCAAGTGACTGCTGACTTAGCATAACTAATTGAGGATAAATTTATAGTACAAAAGGGGGAATTTTGTTCTTAGCTCTGTAAGTACGGAGTTAGCTGTATTATATTACAGAAAGTTCTCTACTCTAAGGTAAATTATAAGGAGTCACACTTAAGCCCTAGGTGTGAGTATTATGATATATTAAGAAAATCTATTCCTTTTCCACGTTGGTTTATAGTATTTGAAATTAAATGAGAAAACTGTAGTATTTAAACGACATTCACATTAATACTTCTTCAGAGTTTATCAAAAAATCAATTTGCTTTTAATTGTAGGTTATGGGAAAGCACACTGTACTAGGAAGCATAAAAATACTCTTTGCTTTGTGTAATGTTCCTAGATGTCTAGTGCAGATTAAGTCCTATTAATATAAACATTAAGTGGGACATGTACATAGTTTTCACTATCCTAAAATTCTAATGTCCTGAAAATTATTAGGAATTAAATAGACAATAGGATAAAATTGAAAAGTGGAGTGCTTTCAGTAAGCAGGGTTTAAAGATTTTTAATAATGTTTTTAACTGAGTTTGTCTTTCATTTTAAAGTTCTACCAGATTGAGATCTGAGGATGAAATTTTCAGCAACCACAGCATACCTCTTGGGGAGACTACAACATTGCCGTGAAACCCTTCCTTTTAGTATTGATAGCTCCTGGCTGCCCAGCACGTGCCCCAGTTTATGAAGACTCCAGTCTACACAACGGTGGAGTATGGAATTTGTTTCCTTTCTAATAACACTGAAGCAATAATAAATCACACAGTTATACATTAAGGTGATTCTGAAATACACAAAAATACCACGATTTGTGCCATGTAGTTATGTGAATAATATTCCTAAGAGACTTTAAATCTTTAACACCCAACCTCTGTCAAACACTTTGAAGCACAGAACTATATTAAGAAAGCATGTAGCATTCAATTTCTGACATTTCATCCCCAAAGAAAGCAAAGCACAACAACAACATGTCTCTGAAATGCAAATTCCATTAAGTGCAAATTTCCAGAACACAAGGTCAATCTAGAAACACATTTTGAAATTCAACAAGTTCTCTTCTGAAATTAATATGCTCAGTACATAATTTTCAAAGATAATCTGAAGTGATTTTCCAATGTGTGTTCATAGTCTAACTTTTTCTCCCTCATAAAAATATATTCACTGGTTCATCTTCCATTTTCTGAATTTCACATTTATTAGCTCAAAATATCTAGCTGTACAGGAATATCTTTTCTCTCCACATTTCCAAGTATGAAATCGATTTGACTTAAATCTCATAATAAGAACACCACCAGGAATAACATTCCCTTATGTTTGAGCTTAAAGTAAATCCAAACAGCTCAAAAGGGAGAAATTTTGAATCCTCCCAACCAGAGAGTTGGGAATTAGCGTGACTTCCTTCAAACGATTTGTCAAGTGAATACTGTAACTAGACACAGAAAGAGATAGTCATCCCAAGAACAACATACTATTTTTGGACTTTCTAACTTGGCCTGGGCACAAGGGAGACGCAGAACCACGTGATCCCAGGAGAACTCGTAGAGGCCGAAGGTCTTACACTGAGCTTGAAAAGGGGACCACCTGCTTTCCACCCACATAAACCTCCTCAATATTTCGGTCATCTCCTGAAAGAAAAATGAAGGAATCATTCATAAAGTGTTTTTATGTCAATAGGTATTTTTTTTAAAGATTTATTTATTTGAGAGAGAGAGTGAGTGTGAGTGAGGGTTGGGGCAGAGGGGGAAGCAGATGCCCCACGAAGTGTGGAGCCCAAGCCGGGGCTTGATCCCACGACTGACCAGACGGGAGATCATGATCTGAGCTGGAACCAAGAGTCCCACACCCAAGTGACTGAGCCACCCAGGCGCCCCTATGTCAATAAGTAGTTTAATTGCCACGAGGAGGGATTTAAAAACAAATACCACTTCTAAGAAGGAAAATACAGGAAGCTGCCTTTTTTTCTCTCAGACTGTTCATAATCTGGACAAGGGGACATGACCAAGAGAAAGTGCTATATCAAATTGGAGGATTAGGGTCTGAATTCTGCACCGAAGGCGGAAATCACGGAAAGTTGAGTTGACTTTCCGTGGGCAGCACTTTCAGCTGGAGAGGTTTGCATTTCCGGCCCCGAGAGTAAAGGAAATACTTATCTTTACACCCCAGAATCATACTCAGCATGGTGAGAAGGAGGGCCGGCAGGAAAGGAGCTCTAGAAATGGCACCTGCATCTCTCTCATCTCCAGTTCACCCCGGACTCAGAGCTCCCCGATCAAGCGGGAGGCAAAGTAGAATCTTCCATACTATTTATTTCTCTCTCTCAGTGGATGGAATTAAATGTGAGTACACGTTAAAACACACACACACACACACACACACACACACACCAAACCTGGGTGGTTAGACTCCACCACAAACTTATCACAAATGCAACGTGGTAGGGCGGACTGGGGTGGGTGTACAGAGTGAATGGGGGAGGAAGGGACACAGATGGCCTCTTCCCCTGCACCTGCCATTCCTCAGCTTTGGATTTATCTTCCAGAGGAGCCTGGGCATTTCCAATAGTGCCTTTAAATGGGCTTGATGCTGAGGAATGTTAAAATAGTACATCAAATGAAATGGTCACGCATAGAGTTTAACCTACAGGGCCACACATACAGGGAGCTGTACCCAAGAAAGAGACAAGGAAAGATTTTATTTAGCACAGAGACATATATCCACCTACCTAGGTAGAGGAACTTCTGGATGACAGCCTAAAATGCAAAATAAAGTAATAATAAGAAAAAATATTCTGTGCATTTAGAAGAGTAAATTCACAGCCAGTAGGGGTTGGCAAAGCACAGACATATAAATTTATTTCTCAGAGGCAAAATCTACTTCCATTAATGAAAAAGAAATGGGCTTCTTGTAGTCAAATACATTTAAATATATAAATATATTCAAAATACAAGTTTTTGTCAGTACCACTATTCTTAACATTTTGTTGACAAATTATAATAATTTGAAAAGGATCTACTTTCCCTTTTAAGAAAACCCTGTCTTCCCTTAAAATGTTTCCATTTCTATTTTTTTTCTATGGTGACTGCTTCATGAAAAAGAAGCCTTTTGATGAAATTTGTTTTACTTACTTCAGACGTATCACCAACCAAATCCCCAGAAAACAAGTCAATGGGAGAGTCAGATGCTTTGGGGTTGATCAGGAGGGCATCGAATTCCTTGCCCACTTCAAAGTTTCCAATCTCTTTATCCAGCCCCAGGGCTACAGGGTGGAATAAATTAGTAAACAGTCAGTATCTGGAGCCATCAGATGGTGAAAATGTCCCCGTTTGCAAGGACAGATTCTGCCAACATATTACTAGAAAAAAAAATGTATCTTAACATGAAGCAGAGAAGCTCTCTCATTCTAAGAGATCCTAAAACATTGTCACACAGAAAGCAGAATAAGCACATGGAAAGCAAAATCTGAGAATAAAAACAGGTCCCCTCATCACCACGATCTCTAATTCAGATGGTGTCTATTTCAGCTTTATTTGTGCTCTTCACAGTCCAGCTGGCCTATGATTTCCATTCATCCCTCTAAGAAACATGACAATTGACATAATGTCTTCTTTTTCCCTCCTATTCTCCGCCAACACTCCAACTCTTTTCGTTGCCCTTTTTGTTCTATGAAACAGCTGACAGGATCTATTTTCATGGCAGTGAAATGAACCTCAAATAAATAAGAAGTATCCTTTTGCATCTGTGCCAATGCAGACCTAACCATCCGAAGTTTCTTAGTTTAAATCCTCTGAATGGAGAAAATTCACTTCTGAAAGTAAATAGGTCCTCATAACTCAAGAGTGCCAATGCTTTAGAAAGCAGACCAACTGTTCGGTAACCTCAGAGACTTTCTGGTTGCCAGAGAAGAATGGTTTTCTAAAATGGGCATAGGTCGATACTATCTATTGGCTTGATCCATCTCATAGCGAGAACTCACGTTCCATGAATATCGGATGTCAGGAAAGAACATCTGTCATTTTTATGATTTAGTTTTAGAAGATGGCAGTAGTTGGCTTTCCTAGTCAATAAAAGTATTAAATCTAAAGCTCCTTAAAGCCTATAATCTGAGTGCACACTGAGCTACCAAAAGGAAGCATGTATAAAAGGAAGGCCAACTGGAGTGCAGCGTTATTTATTTGAATTTTTACACGTGTTGATTGAATTCTGTCACCATCAAGATATAGTCCAACATGAAAGTACTGGATCAGGTATCTCTGTTAGACACTATCTGGTATGTTCTCTTTCTCTGTATGGATATCCAGCAGCCTTTTGGCAGTTCCCCAAGCACTGATTAAGAAATCCGACTTGTTCTTAAAAGATTGTTTAAAGGGCAACTCTTTTATTCTCAGAAAAGAACAAGATTTTTTAGCTAAAGAATTCCTTTAGGAAGACAGGGGTGCAAAAGTAATTAGAAAATGTTAAAGGCAGTTAGGTGACTCCTACTAATTGTGTGGGAAGGACTGAATGTAATAGAAAATCACTGGACATTCTCTCCTCCTTTGCCAATTACAATTTTTTGCCTTTGATAAAGAAGCATAACAAAATATAAGTTTTTAATGACTGTATTCAACATAAAATTGTTGTGTGTTTAACAGGTCAGATAACCAGGTTCATTTGCCAGAGTTTTGATGGTACATATAAACTAAGTGAGCTAATTGTTCGAACCTGGAAGGTCAGTCAGGCGCTAACCAAATAAAGACACAATTGCTTTTACGAATTTGTAAATTGGTCTAAATTCAGATTATCGCAGAAAGGCCCAGTAGGGCTGGTAAGCAATTCAGATGCATTTCAGGAAATGCAGTTTTGCTGCCTTTGGAGCAGATGTCCCTGTGAAGGGGATTTATGCACATCTTGATCTTGAGAGTGAATGGAAAGGCTCTGACAAGCTGGGGAGATGCCACAATTTAAACAGCGATCCATTCATCTCATTTCACTCATAGTCTCACAGAGACATGAGCTAAGGAGAAGAAATTCCATCACAGTAAGCTCAGTGGCCCAGAAAATAGATTTAAAAGCTACACAGCAAGACAGACATGATTTGGTAAGCACCCCATGCCAGCTCGATCTCATACAGGATCCTGACGAAGCACCTCACAGGGAGCCTAGAATAAAAAAGGCACTTAAGTACAATCCATTTGCACCATGAAAATCAGATGTCAGCCAACAATACAAACAGGGAGGGGTGGGGATGGTGAACTTAAAAAAATGGATGATTTAAAACTTGGAACTTTAAAAAATGAAACCATAAGACTTAGGAAAATGCAAAGAGTATGACCCCTGCTAGAGATGTTCTCTATGGCATTCATCATAGCCCGGAACATTCAAAGAGCCAGAAGGTTTCTCTTCCCAGGGTACTCTCAGCTTCTATCATCCTCGGTTTCTAAGACCCCAGGTGTCTATCATAAATCTCTCTCTCTGTATCTATACTGTCTCTATTTTGATATTTTTATTTCTCACTAGCTACCTGAGGTTTCATGCTGTGTTTACCATCATCCATCCAGATTACACCAAAATACGAAAGTGCCTGCAAGCAAGACAATTACCGATTTCTATTTTTTCCCTAAAACTATGGTTACAGGCGAGAACTGGAAAAAGCTGATGAACCGTATTTACATATCAACCAACTACACTTTTACATCTTTTTCCTTTTAAAGAGCTTTGGGTAATTAGTATCCTTAAATGTAGCAACAAAATGCATAGTTTAAACTGGGATTTCCAGAGGAAGATATCACAGTGGAAGGGCAGGGACCTGCACTCTGGCATCAGATTTTCTGGATTCAAATCATGGCACTCTGTAGCTTGACAACTGTGTACGCCTCTCTCAGGTGCCTTGCGGGTAAGGAGGGATGAGTAGCAGTGGCTGTAAGGATGAAGTCAGGACACAGAAAGCATGACCCATAGTGCCTCTTACCTGGTAAGAGTTAAGTCTTGGCTATTATTTTTACTATTACTTTGAATATCATTACTATCATCCCTCAGGGCAATAGAGAACGTGTTACTCGACTCAGTGGGGGGAAAACATTATTTTAAGGAACTCACGTACATGTGACCATTGCAAATATCCATAAAAGTGCTTAATATAATTGTGTGTTGAACGTGTCGTCTGCCAAAGACAGGGGACTTGCTGAAGAAAGGATACCTCTACCACATGTCTGAACATTACCCACTAAATTTGGGGTATGGTATTTGAGATGCAACATTGGGGTGTGAATGTGGGATGCCTGCTGATGCCACTCTCGCAAGCCTTCATACTGCTTCCAAGGACGCAGACTGGCGTGGTTGTACACTGTTCAAGAAGGAGATAAAATGGTCATTACCTTGGCTGCCTCCAAGAGTAGCTAGTCTGAAGACCTCTTTGAGAGTGAGGCTTTTCTCGTTGATCTTATTAATTAAAAGGATATTGGAAACCATCACCGCTCTTCTGATTGCATCAAGCATGGAAGCTGAATAACCACCAGCCACATCTATGGTAGATAAAATAAAGCCACAACAGTAACCTTATTTGATAAATGGAATATTAGGTGTATGCGGTTGGTTTCTGGTTTTTGGTGACCGATATTCAGTCTGTAATACACTTCCAAGAAAAGATCTTATCTAGACACAGAATAGACACAGACTAACGGTTGAAAGAATTCAAAACCTGCAATTAGTATCAAATGATTTTTAAATGTATTCATTTCCTAGGGTCGCTACAACAAATTACTACAAATGCGGTGCTTAAAATAGTATAAATCTATTCTTTCAGAGTTTTGGAGGGCAGAAGTCTTAAAAGTGTTGGCAAGGTCATGATCCCAACAAAGGTTCTAGGGAAGAATCTTTCCTTGCTGCTTTCAGTTTCTGGAGGCTCCTGCAGTTCCTTGGCTTACCGCAATGTAGCTACAGTGTCCGCCCTGCCGTCAAAGGGCCTTCTCTCTGTCTACATGCCGTTCATTTTCTGTCTTGTAGGGACATTCATCATTGGATTTAGGGCCTGCCCTAATTCAGAATGACTTCATCTTGAGATCGTTACCTTAATGTAAAGGTAAAGATCTGCAAAGACCTTTATTCCAGATAAGGTCACATTTACGTTATTCAGCAGACATCTTTGGGGGTGGGGGGTGAGGAAGGGTGCACACAGTTCAACCCAGTGCAACCAAATGGTCAATAAAGTTAAGAGAAGAAAACTCTTATCTCTGGATATTCCCTGAACTCTCACAGAAATATGCCTGCATAGTTATGAAGATAATGGATAACATGAGATTTAAAACAAGCTCACAGTTCTATGCCCTTAAAAACTCATCCTAGCTCTGTTCTAACCCAGATGAAGACTTAGGGAATTAAAAGCTACTTCTTTATGATAATTTTTCAGGGAGAGATTTTAGAATGGACTATGTTTTTTTTGTTGTTGTTGTTTTTTAAATTTTTTATTGTTATGTTAATCACCATACAGTACCTCATTAGTTTTTGATGTAGTGTTCCATGATTCTTTGTGTGTGCATAACACCCAGTGCTCCACGCAGAACGTGCCCTCTTGAATACCCATCACCAGGCTAACCCATCCCCCCACCCCCCTCCCCTCTAGAACCCTCAGTTTGTTTTTCAGAGTCCATCGTCTCTCATGGTTTGTCTCCCCCCCCGATTTACTCCCCTTCTAGAATGGACTATGTTTATATTTTTTTGTGGTGGTTGTTGTTGTCTATTGACTATTTTTTTGAGAACAGTTTAAGGTTCATAGCCTGATAACTTTTTTAAGGTGTTACTTTTAACATTGTACATATGCTCTCTTAAGATACATCTTTGAGTTTTGCTTTCATTTTTTAAATTCTTTTACAACTTTTTAAATCTTGTTTCTATTTTAACTGACTTAGCCTTCCCTGATATGCTGTTGTCCCATCACTTCCCTAGGCCTTGGCCCATTGTTTTGTCTCATAACTCATTGAATGCCGTAGATTTTCAAGTAATTTTTTCCAAGAGTTCATGGGCAGAAATATTTTCCAAAACTTTGTACATCGGAGAATTTTGTTGCCTTCGCACATGAGGGAGACTCTCGTCCAATATAATATTCTTGAGTAACAATTATTTGGCTCCAAATTCTTCCTTGTTCTTGCTATTTTTCATGCCAGCAAAAACACCCTAAACCAAACTGGTTTTTAATTGTTTTACTGATAACTGACTTTTTTCCCTGCCTCAGTATTTAAGGACTTTTTTCCTTTTTCTTTGTAATTCCAGTATCTTGCCGATTATAATTTAGCCTAGAACAGGGTAAATTCTTTGAATATGATACACAGTTCTTTCTTAAGCTCAGAAAAGATTTATCCTTCACAACTTCTCTTTGACTTGTTCTGGATCCTGGGTCAGGAAAACCCCCTGTGTTGGTGTTATTCTTTCTATGCTCCATGTGGATCATTCTCAAACACCCCCTTTGATCTTTGATCAATGTTGTTTTCCACATCACTGATTTAATTTTCTGCAATAGTTCTATTTCTCATAGCTTCCTAAAATGGTTTGTTATTTTTAAACTGAAATATAATTAAGATAACATAAAATGCTCAGGTGTCTAGTTTGATGAATGCTAATAATTGTACATAGCCATTTAACTACCTTTCAGAAAGACAAGATATTAAACATTTCCATTGCTCCAGCAAGCTCTCTCTCTCGGCCCTTTCCAGTCAATTCCCCTCCCTCTCCCCATCCCCAACCCTTGGCAACCACTTTCTGATTTCTATCAATAATGTTAGCTCTACTCGTCCCTAGGTTTCATGCATCTGGAGACATACCACATGTGCTCTTTTGTGCCTGGCTTTTTTCACTTAACCAAATATTTTTAGATTTACCTTTGTTTCGCATAGATCAGTGGTTCCTACTTTCTTGAATGCTGAGTGGCACTCCACTCTATGAATATGCCACAGTTTGCTTATCCATTCCCCTGTCTGTGGGATTTTGAATTGTTTCCAGTTAGGGGCTATTATAAATACAGCTGGTATAAACATTTGTGTACAATTCTTTCTGCAAACATATGTGCTCATTTCTCTAGGGTAAATAGCCCAAAATGGAATTACTGGGTCATATGTAGATGAATCTTTAACTTTATAAGAAATAGCCAAAAAGTTTTCCAAAGTGGTTATAAAATTTACCCTCCCTCCAGTCATGTAGGATTGTCTACATGCTTCTCACTCTTTTTTTCCCCCAGTTTTCTTCTTTCACTTAAAAAATTTCTTTTTCCATCACAACTTGTGGTCTTTTCATAGTACCATGTCTTCTTATACTCCAAGGGTGATGGCAATTCTCTGAGATTTTCTTCTAGATCCTGAAGTAGATCATTTTCAGAGATAAGCTCATCTTTTTTTTTTTTTTTTTTTTTGAGAGAGAGAGAGAGTGCACACATGTGCATGAGTAGGGAGGGGGGCAGAGGGAGAGAGAGAATCTTAAGCAGCCTCCATGCCCAGCATGGAGCCCAATGTGAGGCTCGATCTCAGGACCTTGAGATCATGACCTAAGCTGAAATCAAGAGTTGGACGCTTAACTGAGTGAGCCACCCAGGTGCCCCTCATTCCTTTGATATGACTTTCTTCTGTTTTGCAATATTTTTGTTAAGCTTCACGTGGGCTTCTCCTATCTAATAGTTGAGAAAGTCCAGATCTGCCTCCACTTGTTATAGACAGGGTGAAAAAAACACTTTTGGACCTGCTCTCTGCCCATAGTATGAGGTTAAATGATCTTCTGAAGCCTACAGGGGATGGGCAGGTTGATACATAAAGGTCATGCTTCAAAAAGAGTGGAACATAGTGGGGCTATTGCAACAGAGACTATGTAAAATGCAACAGCATTCTCCCAATTCATAAGTGAATATATCATATTTGATCAAAACTTTGGTCAATACACCAACATTGCTCTTTCCCTTTAAACCAATCTTGATTGACTAGTGCAATGTGCAAATATGTGCTAACCATTTTGCATGCATTTTTTTCTCATTTAAGCCTCAAAACAAGCTTATAAGATAGACATAGTTATAACTGTTGTTACTGTTACAGAAATTAGGGAAATGAAGTCTTAGAAAATTAAGGAAATTTGCTCAAAGTCTTAACAGCTAATAAGTGACAAAGTTTTACCTAAATATTTTATCCATCACTATCCAACCCAAAGTCAAGAACTGGAAGTTATGTGATGAACTTAAATCATGGAGACCAAAATCCTAGAAAATTGGAAAGCAATACCTACCTGATTTTTGGCTGTCTATAAAATTTTTCATTAACGGACTAGTGTGTAAAAAATTCTTGGCCATGTTTTTTCGTATTCATTAAAGCTTTTCTGTGAAGGTAAAATAACTACCTTAACACCTGTGACTATATCCAGGTATTACCACAGTCTCAATGATTGAAGACTTAAATAAGAACTTTTTTTAAATCATAATTCTTTTGCTCATATAAAACTGGGGAGAACATCTAATCTGGCACACCTCTTTAAAAATAATAATTCACTTTGTTTTATTGTATATCTTAGCAATACTGCTGGTATAAAAGTAACTGAGACGTGAGTTATTGCAGAAAATGATGACAACCATCATCATCAATATGCATGATGCAATAAGTATCAGGAAGACAAATGCATGAGGAATGGAAAATAAATCCTTGTGCCCCACACCCATTAAAAAAATTTTTTAGTTTATTCACACACAGTAATAAAAGGTTCACAGGGGATATGCCTAGACATTTGGGCCTGTCTCATACTTTCAAAGTGAGCAGCACTGCACACAGGAAAAACAATTAAAATGTATTGTGTGGGGGGGTGGGGGGGGCAACACCACTAATTCATCAGCCACCTAGAATGTCCTTCAACGCGGCAAACAACAGACTGCCTGTGGGAACTGGAATCTCATTTTGGGCAACACTGCTCAAAATCAAAGCAAGTTCTTACTATATCTCAAAGTTCTCACTGCTGGCATAGACTGAATCTCTGCTCCCTATGGCAAGGTCAACTAATTTTCTTTTGAGACAGTATTTGTGATGACACAGTTATCAAAAACTAAAACCATACAAATCCAAACCATCAAAACCCAGCCAGAAGGACAAAACAAAAGGGGAAGAAAAATCAAGGAGTTTAAAAAAAAAAAAACAACAAACCAACAACAACAAAACCAAAAAAACAATAAACCTCTACAGCACCGTAGAAGGACTTACCTTTTATCACCCAATCTCTGAACACTAAGTGAGGATAATGGCCTTCAGATTAGCATCATAAAAACTTCTCCCTTTGCATACATTTTCTTACTGCTGCAACCCACCATTTTATTAGCTCGAGATAGTACTCCCAGATAAGAAAACTAATTTTTTAAACTGTTACCCGAAACTTAGTCACATCATAAAGTTATGCACTTACTCGACCACTTTGACTATGTCCAAATAGCAAAATACTGACCTGTACCCAGCCCTATTTTCACTTCATGTTTCAGGACTTCTAGCACATTGAGAAAGCCGCTGCTGAGCCTGTAGAGAAAGGAGACGTCAGGACGAGGAGACGCATGTGTTTCCAACAAAAAAGGACACCAGCAATAAGGATGGTGATTTCACTAAAATTGTGTGTTCCGTCGTAACAGCTCTCATGTTGACACAAACACATTGGCCAAATCAGATCATCTGAGTCCCGGAGTGAAAAAACGATCATAAAGGAGCTTTACTCCTTGGGTTGAGGTTAATCTCAGGAGGGTACAAAGCAGCAAGAAACAGAAGGAAAATGGGATCATTTGTAAGGAAAAATAAATGAAGAAATTCAGTCTTGCCATTCATGCAAAAATCTATTGGTCTTCAGTGTTGTTTTGTTTTAACAAACTCATCCTTCTATGTTCAGAAGTAGAAATTATAAAGCATTGTCTTTGCTCTCTGTCTGGGATACTGTGTTACCCAAATGAGTAGTGCCTTGCAAAATCAAAGAAAGAGGGTATTACTGGGAAAGGGGGTGCAGGCTGATGAGTCAGGACAGTTCACAGGACCACAGCAGCTAGGAGAGAACGTTCCAGGCTGAATTCCGGAGATTATGACCCTGAGCTTACTAGATGTGCTGCCTTTCTAGAGAAACAAGGGAAAACTAAAGCGTTCCTTAGAAGTCTGAGAAGAGGCCAAGGTCACCATGGTCTCCTTGAAGATGCATGTTAACTAACCATCGTCAAATCCCCAGTGCACGTGCAATAAAACTTTCAAAGTTGTTGGAGCCAGAATAGCAGTGACCATCTAAACAGAAACGTATCCATGAAGAAATGTAACTTCCAACCTCAATTTGCAAAGCTGGATCATATTTTAATTTAGATATTGTGTAACTAACCCATGGGATGTTAAATCCTTTCCCCGTCGGGTCGCTAGACCATAGTTATGGTCACTGGCCATGCACAGGAAGATTCCCTGTCATGTGTGACTACTTTATGTCTGAAAACCAGAAGGCTCTGGAACCTCTCAAAACGCACCAGAAATATAGCTCTTTGGTTCTCATGCATTTCCTATACCACCTCTGACACATACCCCTTTTTGCAGTCAACTCCCTAGACTTCCAGCTGCCCGCACCTCCAGCCCTACCTCGCGGCTCTTTCCCCATCACAGAGCCTACTCTGCCCTTGTTTGGGGAAGGTCGGGGGTTCAAGGGAACTGATACCTCTTGACCTCACCCAGCAGCCCTCCACAAATAACTGACAGTGTGTGGGAATGACGATCCCCGCTGCCTCACTCCTGAGGCAGAATGACTTTGAGGTCTGTTTTGTACATCGGTTCCCTGAGCTTTCTGGAAGAATTAAACTCCAGGAGCCCACAACGGTAAGCTGCTTGATGATGTGCTCTTACTGATGTCCTTCCCTTTTCTGTCTTACCAGCCAACCTCCAGAGGTCACCTTCAAATAAACTACTTGTACATGAATTGTCTCATGGTCCGCTTCTGCAAGAACTCAAAACAGGAGAGGATACAAAATAATCCTCAAAAAAAACCACTAAAATCTAGCAGAACCTAAATTCGCTGAATGAATATTATGAATGATCCATCTCAACCTGCCTCTAAGTGGGAGGAGCTCTATTCTGGATCAATTAGCACCAGAAATGAGATCCCTTCTGCATCGAATCCTGGAGCATGGATTCCTAACCTAGCATCCATGGATCAGTATCACGGGATCTATGAATTCCCTGAAATTAGATGTAACATTTCTGCATCTGTGAGCTTTTTTCTGAAAATACAGGCCATAATTTTCATCCGACTCACTTATGGATCTACGACCTTGCAAAGGGTTAAAAACTAATTATAGATAAAGCTTTGCATTCTGGGGAATTACAACAGGACACGGTCTCTCCCGTGTGAACTGGCATCCTGTAGGATCCAGCAGCATGATTTATATTGTGGGGTGTCGGCTTACGGCAGCACTGCTCCTTCTCCTGACCGCAGAGTATGCAAAGTCAGTACCCTCTCCCTGGACTGCCTGCCTGGCCTATTGCGTTCCTGCGGTCCTTAGCTGCAAACCCCGAGATGCTGTAGGTTTTGAACTCTTTCTGTTATATTTCCTACTGTCCCATTTTGGGCAAATGCAGAAATTTGAAGAGATGCTGTGTTCTTCAAATGCATACTCTGCAAAAAGTATCCTCTTTTGTGTGCTCTTTCTCCCCACCGAGCACAGGTAAGCCTCTGTGCGTCTGTCTGGTTCCTGTCCCAGTCAGACAGAACTCTCGAAGAGGGACACTGGAGGCCTGACTGAGAAAACAAAGGTATTTGGGCTGCTAATTCGCAACCCAAATGCTCATCACCGACCGACCGGTTATTGCCTACTTACGATAAGTTAGAATTGGGGCAATGCGAGATCGCTGCTCCTCGCTCCTTGAACACCTGCAGCTCTTCTGTGGAAAGGTAGCACCCATGCGCCATCACTGTCTGGAGAGAAGAGTATCCTATGTGGAGTTAACCCCTTAAAAAATGTTTCCCTTAGTCTTGACTCACAGCAAGATGTTACAGGTAGAGATTGAAGCAGTGACTTATCTGTGAGCATCTTCACAAGAGCACTTATGATTACTTGTATGTATAAAATCCCTGTGTACAAGTTACCCCTCAAAAAAGGCCTGTAGGGGGGTGCCTGGGTGGCTCAGTTGTCAAGCGTCTGCCTTCGGCTCAGGTCATGATCCCAGGGTCCTGGGATCGAGTCCCGCATCGGGCTCCCTTCTCCGCGGGAAGCCTGCTTCTCCCGCTCCCGCTCCCCCTGCTCGTGTTCCCTCTCTCGCTCTGTCTCTCTCTGTCAAATAAATAAATAAAATCTTTAAAAAAAAAAAAAAAGGGCCTGTAGAAACATTGGATTACACAAGTCTCAGCCAATATTTCTTTTTTTCTATAAAATAACAAGGGTCCAGGTGATCGACAGGATAGAATATCCAACCAGCTCAAAGATACGACACAGCCTTCATCTCTGCTTTAGAAAAAACCAAGTTACTTCATTTTCGAATTCTACCTGGTGAGCAACTGGTGGGGCTGGGCTTGTTCCCATCTCAGTCAGACTTTGTAGAAGTAAGTTTCCTTTGTCAGCACATGGAAGCTGTGGGCGTAATCCTGGAAAGAGGTGTTCTGTATTTCTGCTCCTAGTTGAATACAGACACCGATGCTCTTTTTTGTTGTTGTTGTTGTTGTTGTTGTTTTAAAGATTTTATTTATTTGACAGAGACATAGCGAGAGCAGGAACACAAGCAGGGGCAGAAGGAGAGGGAGAGGCAGGCTCCCCGCGGAGCAGGGTGCCCGATGCGGGGCTCGATCCCAGGACCCCAGGACCATGACCTGAGCCGAAGGCAGACGCTTAACGACTGAGCCACCCAGGCGCCCCCTGATGCTCTTGATATATAAAACCAAATAATCTTTATTTATCTATTTTTAAGTCTTTTTTTAATTGGAGTATATTTGACACAACCAAATAAACTGTTTTATCACCTATATTTACATTTTCACAAAAATTAGGAAATATAATATTTTATAAGCATTAATTTGGAAGATAAAATTGACCCAAGAAGGCAGGCACTGCCCACATACAACACTTCTCTGTTTAGTCCTGGTAATATTTGTGGGTTTTCCTGAAAAGGATTTAAGTCTTTCTCATGGTATACATACAATGTATTATTACTCAGCAATAACAAAACATGAGATCATTTGCAACAACATGGATGGACCTCAAGGGCACTATGCTAAGTGAAATAAGTCAGACAGAGAAAGACAAATACCATATGACTTTACTCATATGTGGAATCTAAAACAAAGAAAAATTAGCGAGCAAACAAACAGAAGCAGAATCAAACCTGTAAACACGGAAAACAAACATGGTTGCCAGAAGGGAAGGTGTGGGGGGGACGGGACAAAATGGGGGAAGGGGAGAGGGAGACACGCGCTTCCAGTGATGGAATGAATAAGTCATGGAACTAAAAGGCCCATCCTAGGAAATAGAGTCAATGGTAATAGGTTGTATGGTGACAGATGGTAGCCACCCTTGTGAGCATAGTGTAACATAGGAAAGTTGAATCGCTATGTTGTACACCTGAAACTCAATGTAACAGTGTGTGTCAACTCCACTCAAATGAAAAAAATTAAAATTAAAAAAAGGCTTTACTCTTTCAAAATTCTTTTTCCTTCAGTTCAAAACCTGTTTCCAGATAGCTTTCTCCTTTGGGAGGCACAGTTCAGTGACCAAGGATTACTAATAAAATAAAATTTTCCCAAACTCTGTGCAAATAAAATTAACATGCAAATGGCAGGTTAATTTATTATTCACATGGAAATATATGTAGAGAAGGATGAAAATTACAGTGTAGCATTTGCAAGATCTATGTAGAGTATTAACCTTTCAAATTAGTCCTATTCAGCCTTCCGTTCACAGTCCCGAAGAATTTATTTGCTGCAGTATGTTCAACTCTCCATGAAGTTTGTACAATTCATTGAAGGCCAAGGCCAAGGGGTATATTGTTGTAATGAAGTGTCTCCTCACTATATTAATTTTAATGTGAAATTATTTAATTATGAAAGTATTATACACTCTTTTTTTTTAAAAAGCAATACCACAGTGTTTAAAAATAAAAGAGTAAAAGGGTGCCTGGGTGGCTCAGTTGGTTAAGATTACAGAACGACTGCCTTTGGCTCAGGTCATGATCCTGGAGTCCCGGGATCGAGTCCCACATCGGGCTCCCTGCTCAGCGGGGAGTCTGCTTCTCCCTCTGACCCTCTTCCCTCTCATGCTCTCTATCTCTCCTTCTCTCTCTCTCTCAAATAAATAAATAAAATCTTAAAAAAAAAAAAGAGTAAAAAGTCCCCTGTTTTCTCCCTCAGGAGGATCACATTTAACAGTCAATGTTTGTATTCCAGACAATTATTTTTTTTTAAGAGACAGAGAGAGAGAGAGAGAGAAAGAGTGCATAAGGGGGGAGGAGCAGAGGAAAAAGGAGAGAGAGAATCCCAAGCAGGCTCCATACTCAGCGCAGAGCCTGATGCGGGGCTTGATCCCAAGACCCCAAGACCGTGACCTGAGCCCCACCCAGCACCCCTCCAGAAATTTTTTCTAAATGAGCATGCACCCACATACATCAAACAATACCATATTAACATTCTTCCTTGTAAGCCTGTATACATCATTCTTGTGAAAGCTGGATACAATTTTAATTATGGATGTTCTGTAATCTAAACAATCACCCACTGATAGACATTTCCTAACTTGCACATTAATTAACATTCTTATTCATATTCCTTACAGAATGGATCCTTAGAAATGCATCTGCTAACTCAAGGGAATGCACATTTACGTTCTAATGGATACTGACAAAATGTCTTTGGACCAAATGACATTCCCATCCTCAAAGAAGCCTTGAGATTTATTTACTGGGATGAAACTGCAGGCCGATTTTTAACTATATACCCACGCATGAGCATCCTCTGGGCTTTACTCTAGTTTGGGAAATGCACACATGTTGGAGAAGTCTGAAGATTACCATTGAGATTTTATTTTGTCATTTCATTTTTTTCCCACTGCCCCCCCAATTACAAAGATTTTAAAATGTAGATAAATATGCCCTACTCGACACAGATTATGTCATGATATGCAATGTACCTTATTTGTCAGAAGATTGTTTCTATCATACACATCTGTGTAGTTTTTATAATCGGGAAATAGGTTCTTCACAGCTTCAACTTCATTGACAGTTTCACTTATATGGCTCTACAAGAAAATAAATAATACTTGCAATTTTCTAATGTGAAATACCATTAGAAATTATACTTCCTACCCCAAAATGATAAGGATGGTTTCTACTTGCCTATGTAAGACAACAAAGATGCTACATGTGTTGTATTGAAAACAGTTATACATATTATATATAATATCACATCTATATGAAAAAGAAACGATGAACGTGAACATGATAGTTACATGAATATGTAATGTTCTAGCCCTAACCTTGACCCATGTTATATTCTTTCTATAGCAAGTACGTACGTGAAGACAGTACTTGAACCTAGCTATTTGTGGCAACTTGCCCCTTTTGATATTGGCCATTTAAGAGAAGAGCTTCATAGCCATAAAAGGACAGACAGCATGGTTCACTCATACAAAAACTAGAATTTGAACAAGGAGAAATGAATGTCAGCTCAAGTTCTGAGCCTACTTATGTTTCAGTAGGGTGAGTCAGGTCTTCCCTTTGGGTCTCTACAGTCTCATCTTTCAAATATAAGTGTTGGGCTAAATGGGTAGTTTTCCAAGCTCTTTCAGCTTTGAGTATGTCGTTCATATAAAAATTCATAGAGATACAATATGTCAAAGGCATAAACAAGTTGCTTCTCAGGGACTCTAGAACCCTGTCCTCATTCTGGCCCCGTTGGCAACTTCCCAAGTGATCTCTTCCACAGAAGACAGTTCGAAAATAACTGGCCTCGACAATCCTGCTGTCACCAAAACAAGAGCCCATAAAAATCATGTCCAATCAAAACAAATGAGTCCTGGCCCCCATGCCAACCTTTCTCTAGGACACCATAAACCCCACGCCCTTGCCTAAAACAAAAATCCTTCCAGACCAACTGGTGATGAGTACATATAATAGGAAAAAACTCATGAGCAAGTTGCCACTTCCAAGAATGGCAATGCCATTCCCCCTTCTCCATGAGGTAGTGTGAGCCAAAGAAATAAGAGAAAAAAAGAGCAAGGTTCTAAAAACAGAGTGTTCCACCTAGAGGCTGAGCTCTATCCTGGCCTCGAGGAACTCTAGACCACTGAAGAAATGCATGGGCATCTGAAGAGAAAAAAAGGACAACCAGATGATTCTTTTCACTTTGATAAATTTGAGTAAATGCTAAATGCACATGCACATATGCATACCGCACCACCCCCCCACCCCACCCCACCCCCGCAGCAAGGATATACTTGATTTTGTTTTGTGTTCATGGAGTTCAGGACACACTAGCTCCAAATATGGCACCATGGTATACTGCATATTTTAAGCTGAAGGAAAATAGCCGAAGGTCAGAATGAAACAGATCATAAAGCTTTTATGTGAGGCGTGCCCACCCTATCCTCGGAGGAGAGGAGCATCCTTATCTCTGAAGACAAATGGATGCCCCAAGGAATCCAAACAATTATTCCTCCATGACTATGCACTTGTCACCAAACCGGCCAGGCCTAGAAATGCTCTCTTTCTTTGGGTCTTCATTTCCCTATGAAGCCTCCTTATCATGTAAAACTTATTTTAAATACATTTGTATGCTTTTCTCCTATTGTCGTTGTCAATTTAGCTTTCAGACCCAGCCAGGGACTCTAAGAAGGTCGAATAAAACTTTTTCCTCCCCTACAATTGTGTGGGATCGAATCAAAAATACAAATATCACAGTCCCCCAAAAGGGGGGAGGGAGTGATGAGAATAGTTAAGGAGCCCCAACAAAATCAATCTTATTAAAAAAACAAAACAAAAAAAATACCCTCCACCCTGATAAAGAATCAATGTGTTCTGCCTTTCCCCTAACTTGCCCTTGGTTATAAGATAGTCCACTCTTAAGAGGGAAAATGTTGGTGCAGCCTGTAATGAAGCTTGGGTGGGGGAAGGAGAGCCTGCAACTCCCAATTTTAACCCAGCTGGAAGCTTTAAAAAGTGTTTCATTCCTAAATTGCAACCGTTTAATGACAAAGTAAGATATCCTTTTTTGTTCCTGATTTTTAAATTAAGAAACTCAGAACAAAAGGGCTTTTAAATGCCTTTTTGTGAGGGAGAAACTAGGTTCTTTTTGCTTTTCAAATAATAGGTGGTTCCTCCAAAAATGAAGGACTAGAACACTGAGAAAAGGGTCAAATAAAAGAGAGAAGTAGGAAAGAAATGAATTAAACGTATCTTACAGAGAACAGGTAACCAGTGTGTTACTGATCTGGCCTGGTTACGTATGACGTCCTCGTCTAAGTCTGATCAGAGAAGATGAGGGTAAAAGGAACTTCAAGTTTCCTATCTGAGAAATTAAGAAGTGGATTTAGGTGATGTCTGTAAGAGCCCTCCCTGTCCTATGATGCCATTTCTCTAGGAGATCTCAGGAGAAGAATTGGAGATGACTGCCAGAATTTAGGGTACTGAAAAGTCTTGCAGGTCCGGACAGGGGCACAAACAGCAGAAAAATACCCACCTGAATATGCAAATTATGGGTCTTCGCCATGTTTCCCAGTTTACCCAACAAAGTGTCAGAGCAGGAAAGGGAAAACCGTGGTGTCACTATGGGCTTAACTCTAGAATACTGGAAATAATAAAAAAAAAAAAATTGGTAAGGAAACTATGGATATCAGGGAAGTGTGGTATACCCCAACATGCATATCATACAACATGATAATTTTATGTCTTCATTTTGGAGGATAGCCCCCCATTCTAAGAGTGGGTGGAAGTAGTGGGTTTCACGGAAAGAGCTCTTGGCTGAGGACAACAGAGAGAATATTCTGTAGCACCAAGTTCAATGGAAGAAGATCCTGCCTCCAAGGACAGACAGCCCCAGTCCCACATCCACATGAAGGCTCAGAGAAGGCCTTGACTGGGTGGCCTTCATGAAGAGAAATGGGAAGCAGAAGAACTTCTAAAGGAGGCTGCTCTGGGGAGACTCAAAGTGAAGTGGTGGTCTACTCCCCATCTATGTCTTGGGGAGGAATGCCAGCCATGGCCTCCCTCAGGACATCTGGGGGCAGTACTGGCTCTGGTGTCATCCAAGGTAAAGGCTGAGCAGGGGAGAAGGGCTCAAGAGAGGGGTGGTGAGCATGAGGACCCCCAAAGCTCCACCTAGTTCTCCCAAGACTAGGCTGAAAGTAATAGGGTTCTCACGGTTTCCGATTAGACCTCAAAAGTTGGTAAGGGAAGGGTCTGGCTTGCCAATCTAAGAGGTTGTACAATGGAGCTACGAATTGACCTGCTAGGAGTGGGGGAAGGAAACAGCCCTGCCTCCATAGGCTCACCAACACCAGGCACTGCAAAGAGGAGTGGCCGGCCGAGGGCCTGCAGGCCATGTGACATACCACACGTTAGGGACCAAGGCAGCCAAAGGCTGGGGCATCATGGTGGACACCACCTGTGCTCCAGACCAGATCAGGGAGTACAAGAGGCCAGAGCCAATGTTGATGTAGCCAACTTCCAGTTGCTCCCAATCTGTCCACATCCATGAAGCCCTCTCCCACCTCCCCAGGGACCAGTCCTGTGTGATTAGAAGCTTCCAGAGAAGAGAAAGGGAAAACCACTGAGGAGACAAAAAAGCCCGACCTCACAGAGCTGAGTTGATGGGTCGACTATAAAAACAACTGAAGGCTCTGGGGAGACATTTCTGCATGCGTGGAGTAAGCCAAACGTACACAGACTAATCTTTATCAAACAACTTAATAGCAAATCTTACAAATGACACAAAAGCAATCCAAAATCAGGCTGGGAACAAGCTTACTTACGTTCTTTTGGAGCATTCTTGACACAAATCTGAAATAAAGCAACAAATGGGAAGATAGAAAATCTTGGCATTTTTAAATAGATTTTTTAAAAGGGTGAAAACATGATCCTTACATGTCTTAATTTCCATGCAAACAGTTCTAATGCCATACATGTTTCACCACCACTAATTAAAGATTAACAAGTAGTAATTACTCTGCTTTCTCATTTGCAGCCAGAGAAATAGAGTGCAAAATCACAGGGAAATGCAATTTTATCCTCTCACATCAGCTGGGCTGCTCATGAGTATTCCCATACCACTCAACCATTCCACTGGCTTAAGCTCTATTTGGGGGAATATTGCAGGATGTTATGCTCCATGGATATTAGAATCACGGAATCCTATGCACCTGGAGGCATTTAGAAGCCATAGAACTCTATGGGCACAGATGTCGGAGTAAGGCTGATGGAACAGGCCAGAGGTGGCTGTGAAATGGAGACGGGGGAGAGGGGAGGAACCGGACAGGGGTGGCAATCAGGGATGGTGGTGTCCGTAGGGCCAATTAAACAGCGGTTTGTGCCCCAACTGAAAAAATTTATTCGCTAGCTTTCTGCCTTCCGGTAGTCCTTTGTTTCAGAATAAAATGGGGACTAAAGTTTACAATGACCACAAACACACATCCATAGGAAAGTTCAGCATGTGGCCAACGATAAAAGGAAGGTGCATGCTTCACTCTTTCTGTGAGCAGGTGGTGGTTCCTGAGCTACGCTTTCCAGAGGACACATTTAAGGTGATGGAGGTCTGGAATTGTAGGAAAGTTGGGCTTCTAAAACTTGCCTCAGGATAGGTTAGGTCCTGGGGAAGATTTACATCTAAAGAATGTCCTTCTATATCTCTTGGATGTCGTGTCGAATGTCATACAACGCAATTCCTTGTCAAACCAAATCCTCAAGGGACTATGGAAAAGCCATTAAAGCAATGTAGATAAAGTACTTTTGAGATCCGTAGACTATTCCAGTGTAATATAAAAAGAACATAACAAAAGCTCGTGATCTCAGGCAAGAGGGTGACCCCACCACCAAAAGTAATCTGATGCGCAGACCACATACACTTAAAGGAAGTTCAATTTACAGGAGAAGCCTCCATCTATAATAAAGGAGAGGGAAGCGGTAAATCATTAACTTATAAAAAGAATCCTTCATTTCACAAAGGGATTCACCCTAGGACTCTATAACAAATTCCCAGAGGCTACCAAATGGTATTGACATGCAACGTTTTCTTTAGGACCAGACCACCTGCACAAAGTAGGGCAAACCCACACAGTGACGTATGCGCATATCGGCCTGGTTCACTCTCTCCCCATCTCTAACTCCATCAGTGCCTCAGAGGGACCACCCACAAGACAAATCAAGATGCATGTACCTCTCTGTTTCCTTGACTGATTCCTCAGTGGTTTCCTTGTATTCTGGAACAGTGGTATTCATATCCATGCAGACTTTGCCCACAAATGCACGCTGCCCAAATTTATCTGTGAGAGGCACACAAAAACAGAATCTGAAGTCATGTTTTCCCCTGCAAACAATATATCCCTCTTGAGCCTTTAGAAAACACATTTAAATTAAAATCATTATGAAAACACAAGTGAGAATGTAAAAGATCATTTAAGAACGCCATTTAAGAACAATAACAACGACAACAAAACCACACCAAATTCTATAAGTAGTTCAAGGTCTTCCACTGACTCCTATTCCTTGGATTACTACCAAGATGGTGATAATATCTGATTAAGGTCTAACCCTGTATGTGCCCAGTGTCCTCTGTTATGTGTAGGGTTGTGAGGAATATACCCAGTAATGTATATAAAGTGTCTGGCCATGTAGGGCTTAGAAAAGATACGGTCACTTTTCCTAACCGTAGCAACGCCAATATTATCATCAGTGGGGAATTTGACATAGTCCTACTAGCAGCTCTCAGCACTAAGGAACCTGGTCCTCATTAGAGCTGCCAGAGAAATTTTATTTCAGCTAGAACGTTGAAGCTACATGGGGTGATACTGTTTGTACAATGTCTCTGCCTCTGTCATAAGAATCTTACAAAAGTCTTTTTGCCCCTCTCTTTCCCCTGTAATTCATTGTGATACCTGGCCATTAGATTACTCTTAACGTGAAACACCACCTTCATCACATACCTCATCTGGCTCAAAATCTTTGAGTATCTGATGCATATTCGAATCTCTCCATGGTCTGAACCATCCCAGCTGCCCAACCTCCTCTCCCCCCCTCACTGTGCAATGAATCCTGTCCTCCAGCTCAGCTACTCTGTTCCTTGCTTCCTGTATCCACTGTGGATATTCCTGTCCCCATAGCTTTGTCCATGTTATTTCCCTTGTTGGGAAGACATTTTCCTCCCTCCCCATTTTGTGTTCCTGTAGGGCCCTGTTTAAAGGCCCCCTCTATGAATTCTTTCCAGATGATCCAATTCTGAGTCTTCTCTGTCTCCTCCAGAAATAGCAATATATATTTTCAGGGCTACCCTTTAAGCCTCTGGCAGAACCTACCTTGGCCAGCAAGCAGAAGTATCAGCGCATCAGCCAACGGTATTTACTGAGCATCTGCCATGTTCTGGGCACTGTGCGAGGTCCAAGTTTTGGAATTACTGATCTAAAGCCAGTCTCAGACCTGCTTACTAGCCGTGTGACTTGGGCATGTTATGGCCTCTGAGCATCCATTTATCCATCTGTAACATGAGGGCACGAATGCCTACTTCCAAAGACTGTTTGCAGCTGAGCTGAGATAATCCATGGAGAGTGCTTTGTGCAAAGCCAGGCATCCAGCAAGAGCACAGCCGCTGTTAATACAGTCATTTTCTATTTCATTGTGTTCCCAGCATCTAGCACAGTGCCCTAAGTCTAGCCAAGAGCCAAGATGTGTCTGCGGATTATAATATAATAAACTGTTGCCACAGTGAGAATTAGTAAATTTGGTCCCAAACGCCCTAAATTAATACACAAAATTCAGACCCGTACACATCATTCTGGAACCAAAACCATAAATAAATAATCAAATTACTTACACAATTAAAAACATTCAAGGGCCATACACAAACACCTAATTACTTGCAAGAAATGCAGCGCTCAAATTCTAGCAATTAAGAGGCAGGACAGCCCACATGTATAAGTCATTGCCCGGCATGGTCTGACTGTCTTGGCTTGATGTGCCCATAAATCATGCTTTCATTTCCTCACCTGTAATTTCTGCAAGGAGCAGAGATGAGTCAGTGTGAATTGTTCCAAAGTAACAAGCTGTTGTTGTTCCATTCTTTAGTGTTCTCCTCTAAAAATAAATCACAAAAACCATGAATCGCGTGTGCCCAGAAAAGTCACATGGCAAATAAAGATGAAAATAGAATTCTAGTTTTTAATTTTAAAATATTTTTATTTAAAGGTATGCCATCTTGATATGAAATACGGTTAAGGTAAATGGCAAAAGTATTTATATCCAAAAGTGTGAGCTGGAGAAGAAGCTGGTGCTTCTGATTTCCTAGATTTCACACTATTCCGTGTTGCAGACTTCACAAAATGTAATACTAATTAATTCCTTGGTTTTTAGGATTATTTAAGGATATACAAACTTTATTGCATCAAGGGATGAGTAAATGAGATTCTTCCATCTACAAGAGGGCAAAATTATTCAGCCAGATTTCTAGTTCAACCCAGCAAATTAGTCCCTTGTATTTATCTCCCTTCCTTAGCACAATTCCACTAAACTAACAGTAAAGGAGTATAAAATGTATTAACCCAGAAGAAAGAGACACGAGCAAAGGAAGCATTTCTACAGCCCCTTGGAAGACAAAAAAAAAAAAAAAAAAAAAACAGACAAAAAAAACATGGATGAGAGCCTGGAGGTGACTCTGCAAGAAGGGAAAGAAGCACAGAGCTGCTAATAGAGAATTGGCTGACAGTCTGTATACAGATGATTAAACCCTGGCAGGACCCTTCTCCTTGTTGAAATCAGCCAACCACACCAACCTGATTCTTGCAGGAGAGATTTGCTCTTGCAGAAACTTGCAACAGTATTTGGAGACTAGACACCCAATATGGCAAGGTTCAGCAGAGACTGGAAAGAGTTTTAAGTGGATAATCTGGTTGACCCTCTGGATCCTTGGTCATTTTCCCCAAAATCCCACATATGCAACTCCCACCACTCCTAGCAGGACTGAGGAACTCTTCCCTAGAGAAGATGACTGGTTCTAGAAGAAAGATATCCTCACAGTGGCATTTGGGGCCCACAGTTGAAAGGGTTGTTCAGTGCCTTCACTGTTTATCTTATAATGAAGTTCACTAGCCAACAAGCGTTATCCCCATCCAGACTTCCAACCACCATTTCAGAGCATCGCACTTAAATATGAAATGTATGTTCAAGGTTCAACAGACATTGGAGGAAAGTTAGTATAAAAAAGTGGGGAAGGAGGAAAAAGGAATCTGGAAAAAAAATCTCGGAGGAAAGAGGCAATCTCTAAGGCCAGAAGGAAGCTGGATTTAAAAAAAAAAAAAAAATCTAATGGGGGGGCGCCGGGGTGGCTCAGTCAGTTAAGCATCCGACTCTTGATTTTTAACTCAGGTCATGATCTCAGGGTCAGGAGATGGAGCCATGAGTCTGGCAGCATACACTAACCAGAGTAAAGTGAAACTCAAAATTAAAACAGAAGCGTAATCTAACATTTTCTAAATTCTCAAAATTTTACACACCTTTCTAAAATCTTGGCTTGAAGATGAACTCAAAGGGGAAAGTGTTGGCTGTTTAGCAAGAAGGACAATGGAAGTGCCCCACGGCATGGAGAGTAAGTCAGTCCTTCCTCTGACCGAGGGAAGGGGCGGGGGAGGGGAGGGGTGTTTCCACTAGTTGAGAAATTGCACTTTCAAGTTGGACTGGAACGAACTAGAAAGTTCAAGAATCTGCTCAAATTATAGTTAAAGAACAGGACAGGGAAAAACCACAGAGGAAAAAAGAAAAGGAAGGAGGGAGAGGAGAGGAGAAAGGAAAGGAAAGAACCCCAAGCTACTCTTCCTGGTTCCCACTGACTTCCACCCATTTAACCAACAAGCTACATGTGTGAGACTGATGTAATTGAAAGAAATCAGTTTGGCTTTAAAACCTTGCTGAAGAGGACATCTAAAATACAGCTGCTTCCCTTCTTCATTTGTTCTGTATTTGGGCATCCTGGACCCAAGGCCACCCTAGTGTCTCATAAGCTTTAAAGAGGGTTCTTCCGTTGGTAATGAGTTTGTATTTTTCCAGTTTATAAGAATCTACCAAGAACAACATCAGACTGTGGGTTGTGTTTCTCAATCTTTCCTCAGCCTTCAATTCTTGACAAGAAAGGTTTGGAGACCAAGCTTTTTAAGCTCAAAATAGATGCCAAACATAGGATGACTGCAAACTTCAAGATCAGTAGCAATGGCTTCTTAACAGATTAGATGATTTGCATTTCCCCTGGGCTGAAACAGGGAGGAAAGAGTGGCCTATCTCCTTTCGATTCACCTTGTACTTTAATGATCTGATACAGTTTTGGAATTACTTGGATTCATCAGCTGTACCTTTGACAACCCCATAGAGTAAGCATATTCATCCCATTCCCCAGAATATTTGCAACTCGTGTATCTTGGCACATTTACTAGGATCTCATTGTCCAATCCCTTGACTGCAAGCTATATAATATATAGATTCCTGAACCTTCTAGTCTTTTTAGTTTATTCCAGTCTATTTTGAAACTGTAATCTCTCACCCAGTTTGCAATGTTTAAAGGCAGATAATCCAGGCTTGCTTTACTGGGATTTTTTTTCTAAGTAATCTCAGGAGATGTTTGCTAATATAGACTTGAAATTACTTGCACATTAAATGATCACTGTCATCTACGGTGCAGAACTCTGGGGTCTTGATTTGCCCATTTGCTGAAGTATAGATCTAGGACTGTTTTCTGAGGGAGAAAATAAAATAAACCAAAATGCCTTGGATCTCTCTGGACCTACTGTTTTAACATCCCTTTGCATTGCCGTGAGCAGTTGTCAGCCTAGGGACAGGTTCTAGTTAACAAATCTCAACGTCTACAGATTTCAACCATATCATCAGCTCATCCAACTGTTAAAGTGTGCAGGCCTGCCTGCTCATAATCAGAAACATAGGACGTATGCAATGCAAGTATGTGTCGAGAATAAAATCTATTTTGTACTCACTGACATCAAATACTTAACTCTCTGATACAAGAAATAGTATTTATGGAGTACTCCCTGAAGGATATGTGGTTCTAGATACTCTAAATGTCTAAACATAAAACAGTGATATATTTGGGGTTTTTTTAAATACTATAGCATCTTAATAATATATATTTTGACAACAGAGCATGTATCTATATGAACTGTTATTGAAACTAATTTTTAAGAAAATCAGTATAAGTGGGCGCCTGGGTGGCTCAGTTGGTTAAGCGACTGCCTTCGGCTCGGGTCATGATCCTGGAGTCCCGGGATCGAGTCCTGCATCGGGCTCCCTGCTCAGCGGGGAGTCTGCTTCTCCCTCTGACCCTCTTCCCTCTCGTGCTTTCTATCTCATTCTCTCTCTCTCTCTCTCTCTCAAATAAATAAATAAAATCTAAAAAAAAAAAAATTAAAAAAAGAAAATCAGTATAAGTAATAGAAATGCTTTACCTTAACAAATGTTTTATTCTTTATCATATACACAGTGTAAATGACATCATTGATTTCCCTCTCTGGGTCAGCGGCTAGAAACTTAAAGCTGAATTTGTGACAAATGCTAACAAGTGCATGGCCCCCCATGGTATACACTTACCTCTCAGTTTTATTTTTCTTCCCCCTTTTTCTCCTTTGCCACGCTTTTGTGACTCATTTGCTTCCACTGTATACTATTTTATTTTAAGATATCTCAAACCCTTTTTAGAACAATGAGAGGTATAAATAAATTTTGAGAATAAAAAGATTTGGTGTGGTTAACACAGTTCATTAACACAATATCGCAGCAACTTCATGCACTGTGTTAGTCCTTCTCAGTTTTTCTAGTGTCATGTGGATCCATGCTAAACAGGTAAGATCTACAATTACACTGAATTTACAATTGGGGAAGTCAAGTATATAAAGGATAGCATTTACTTTTACTCCTCAAGGCTTGAATGATACAAGACCAGGGGAAATGGCAGAATGGCTAGGTAACTGTCTTACAGACTTACAGTACTGTCACCATCCCAGAGCCATCGCTTTAGAAGAAAACCCATCCATGGGTCCAACAACAATGCAGCAATGTTTAAACTAAGTATGCTGCATGACAAGAGGTAGTGGTCAGATAGGAAAGTTTTTGCAAAAGGTATTCTCCCCTGCAGAAGCTGTTTCTGGTTGCTGAGTGGACTTGGCATAGGGCTGGAGTAGAAAGAAGGGGACTGATTTCCTTGAGAGAGTGGAAGTAAGGACATCCTCAGAGCCTTCAGTATAAAGGTTGGCGCGGTTCAATGACTTGAACTAGCTCCATAGCTCCCTCTAGTGGTGTTAATGCTCATCATGTACCTACGTACCCTGCTATATAGGGAGCCATCCTATTTTCCCTCCTTGGGAAGCTACTAAAATAATGTGATATCCTTCTAACTGTAATTTTAACTTTTATTTTTAAATTTCCTTGCATGTTTTTTAAAGCAAATATATACAACGCTCCATGTGTCAGGCACTATTCTAAGAACCTCACAAATATTAACTTATCATAACAATCCTATGAAGTAGTTACTATCATGATCTCTACTTTATTTTACAGATGGGGAAAATGAGTCACGGAACTTTCCAAAGGTTACACAGCTATTCCATATGGTCCCCAGAACAGCACTGTGGATTGGCAGGAGTAAGGGAACACACACGTGCATGAAACTCAAATTTAGTAACTCGAAACACAAGAAGTAACAGACCAAGAGTCAAGAGAGCCCACCAGATAGAGAATTTGAGGATTTGGATTCAAGTTCTCTCTCTGCTATAGGTTAGCTTGTGTAGATAAGGTGGGTGGTCCACACACTCCTTGGGCTTTGAAAAAAACTGAAAATGTCTCCACAGTCCATTCTAGCCTCAACTGCCTGTGCTTTATAATTAAAATATGCCCCAAGAAATGGACGTGTCTACAGGTGATTTGGTCATAACACACCACTACTGACGAGCAAGATACTTACGACAACTCTGGTATATACTTCTTCAGCGAAGTCGATGTTCTGGAATTTGAGTTCTGTAGGAAATGTGTACATGGTCAGCCAGTCCAAAAGCGGCAGGTCCACATTACTCCCAGCAAAAGAATACTGAGGGGCGTGGATGTGTGTATCAACCAGCCCAGGCATGAAGAACTCACTGGAAATTAATACAAGGGGGAAAAAAGAATTTAATAATACCTTCAATCATTTTCCGTATCTTTAAATCACATTTTCTCTCCACGGTGATTAATTGTTTACCACACGCAGGTTCAGAGCTAATGCAATCAGACGACTGTAAATTCTCCTGTTATCTAGCAATCAAGATATAGAAGTGACGCTCTGCTGGGAGAGATACAGCTCCTACATTGGATTGGCAGAATGGCTGGTGTGAGGTTAACCAAAGATGATCGAGGGAAGCAGAAGCACAGCACTGAGAAGCAGCAAAAAAACAATCATGGAACAAGACACCCGATGACTTTGTTCTCATAACTGGAGGTTATAGGACGGAGAGCCAAGATGAGAAAGAAGGTCTTTAAAGCTTCTAAAGCCATGCTTTGGAACTACTCCCGAGTCACTAAGGATGACTGACGATGACAAACGGTGGCTGCAATGCTAGACTCAGTGGTCGTCTTGACCTTGGCTGACTCCAAGAAATCTGGTCCTTCCCCTTGTGAGGCAGGGGCTGAGTTCTGAAATGAAGCAGCAACGGCAAACTGAGGCTGGTTAGGGACAGGCCCTCGTAGAAGACGAGACTGTCAATGGGTGGGCGGTGTCGGACGGGTAAGCGAAGACACAGCTGTAGTGCTCAGACAGCCTTCTCCAGGTGCCGCTGATCACTCCTGCCGTCCCCCTGGCCTGCCAACTAATTTTCATATTTCCACTGATTCTCATAACAGAAAGTCCTGGAAAGATGTTTTTAAGAGCTTTCAGAGGCACTACCCACAGATTCGAGGAAGCCCCCAAACTAACACACTTAAAACTTCTCTAAAGAACGAATCCAGTTCACTGGTGTCTATTAAGTGTCTACACACATCCAAACAGATATTTGTTACAGACCATATGTACCACCACAACCAGCACCCTGAGAAAATATGAATTATATTTTAATATACATAAAGAACTTGAGCTCAAAACTTGACATAACAAAGAATCCCTTATGCTACCAACTGAAATGTATACCACCTCAGTGAAAGGCAAACAAAGCCTGGGCTACCTATAAAATGCTTTCTTTTTAAAAAAAAATGGGAACCGGGAATGGTGGCGATAATGCTGATAACCAGCAGATGATGTTTACTGAAGAGGTACATGTACTCGGCACAGCACCCATGTACATCATCTTACTTGTGGGAGGCAGTTTATTACAGGGGTTAAGTATATACATTCTTGACTCAGACTGCCTGATTTTGAATTCAGACCCCACCATAAACGAGCAGTAGGGTCATCGACATGTTATTTAACTTCGTTGCGACTCAGTGTCCTGTTACAGTGGTAGCACCATAGGGCTGTTGTGAGGATTGTTAGCACGAGTAAAAACAGTGCCTAGATAACAAAAAGCACTCAAAAAAAAATAGTAGTTATGATGAGGTAATGCTCACAACAAACTTACAAAGTAGTACTGTTCTCCTCATTTATAGAAGAGAAAACTGAAGCTCAGGAAATGTAAGTAGCTTTAAAAAAAAAAAAAAGTAATCATGCAACTAGTCAGCTTTGGAGCCTAGATTCAAATCCAGGCAGTTTGTCTGCCGGCTCAGTACTCTGGGTCACTCCCCTCCGGAGGACAGAATTCTTCATTCACTTCGGCGGGGAAGAGCAGTGACAAGCTCGTGTGGCAAGAAGGCCGCATTAAGTGAGCCTACAACGTGGGGGGCGCGCAGAGAGGGGGGATGAACTATGTGGACTCCTCTCAGGCATGAGTCGCTGACCTCTCAGGATACCTCAGTCCTGGGGCTTTCCCCGTCTCCACCACCATGAAATGAAATGGCCACGTGATTTCTTTATGTAGTTGAATTGTTCAATCAAATAATATTTCCCAAGTAACTGATAAGTTTTAAAAAACTCTCCTAAGCCTTGTGGGAGATCCAAAGAGAAATAAGACATTTCCTTATCTTCAAAGAGATTATAATCTAGTTGAGCAGATTAGGGGTGAGTGAGGATATCTGTGTGTGTCTGTGTTGGGGGGAGGGGGGTATGGAGAGAGGGAGGTGGAGACAAAGAGAGAAGTAGGTCTGGTCAAAATATTAAGGATCTTAGTGAGCAATTTCACTCCTAGTGGTTTGCCCGACTGAAATAAAACATATGCTTACGAAAGAGCATTGTACAAAAATATTTAGAGCAGCTTTATGTATCCCAGCCTCGAACTGGAAACAAATCAAATACCACAGGAAAACAGATAAACAAACTGTGGTATATCAACACAACAGAATGCTATTCGGCAATACAAAAGAAAGAACTACTGATATAAACAACAAAATGGATGAATCTTGGAAGCGTTACGATGAGTGAAGAATCCAGACACAAGAATCATTGATTTATTCCATTCATATGACTTTTTTTTTAAAGATTTTGTTTATTTATTTGACAGAGAGAGAGAGAGAGCACAAGTAGGCAGAGCGACAAGCAGAGGGAGAGGGAGAAGCAGGCTCCCCGAGGAGCAGGGAGCCTGATGCGGGGCTCAATTCCAGGACCCCGGGATCATGACCTGAGCCGAAGGCAGACGCTTAACGACTGAGCCACCCAGGCACCCCATTCATATGACATTTAAAAACAGGCAGAAGTAATCTATGTGATAGAAAAAATTAAAACAGTGGACCAGGGGCTGGAGAGTGACTGGAAGGGGCATAAAGGAACTTTCTAGGCTGATAGGAATGTGTTATATCTTGATTGGTTTATGTTGGTTCCATAGTCATATATGTTTGTCAAAACTTATCAATGTACATACCTAAGATCTGTGCACTTTACTACATAAAAAATGTTTCAGAAACAACAGCCAAAAAAAAGTTTCTTTAAAAAGGGTCTTGAATAATCAATTCAGTGAATTAACTGGTGTCGGTTATTCCATAGCCGGGAGGGAGGGAATGGCGAGGATGCTTGTTACTTTGTTTCTTCTTCTCTTTTGCAGAACTGTGACACTTTGAGTCTCAGGTTTAGGACATGAATCTGGCGGTGGCAGGCATGTGCGGGGAGAGTCCTCCCATGCGTGTCCCAAGCATGACATTTCTGAATAAAGATTATGGTGATAGGAACAGAAAGGAAAAGGTGAATACAAGAGAAAAAGCTTGATATTTTATTAGCTGTGGGCAGCCAAGGAGAGGAATGAGTCCAAAAGAGAGCTTCTGAGCATGTGAAGCTGATTATATGACATGATGTGAAGAGAATGTAGGAGGAAATTCCACGTTGAGGGAGGAGTGATGTTATTAAGTCTAGAGTCAGTGTAATCTCCAAGGGTCCAAAGAGCATCAGAAATGTGCGATAAGAGGTGACAGAAGAGGTATGGATGGGATTCAGATTTGAGAGTCTTCTCTGTGGAGGGAAGCCTAGAATCTGGGGGTGCCAGAGATTTCTGTGGAAAAAGAACAAAACTGAATCTTGAACAGCACCGTCCACTTATAGGAGTAAGAATGAGGAAGACAAGGCCATGCTCCTTCTGCAGCAGAGTTGTCAGGAGGACTGAGGGAGATCCAGGAAAGAGAGGTATCAAGGACAGCAATGAAGGGACAGAGACCAGTGTCCAAACCTGCAAGAGTCAAAGGCAAGTGGTCTCAGGAAAAGAGAGCTCTCATTTCCATGCAGTGGTTGGGGAGACACCTGATTTCACGTGGATTCAGTCCTTCATTATAGAATACTTACCAAGTCTCTAGAATGGTTTAGTTACTGTCCTACAGCCGAAAAGAAACCCATGAACATGAAAGATCAGTGTTTAGAGAAAGTACTGGGCAGAGAGAGAACTCCCTTTAAAAATATTTGGTAGTGAAAGAATGGGCAGGTAGGGGGGAGGGAAAGTCACATTTTGTTAAGCATGTTAAGGAAGCAGAGATGAAAGAACTCTTTTCAATTTTGCTCACTCACTAGCTTCACTTCCTTAGAAAATCTCCACTTCCCCTCAGATAAAAACCACTAATTTCATATTCCAAACCTGTGGTGCTGGCCAGTCTGCATCAGAATCTGGGGACAAAGAAGATTGTTTGCCCCTATATACACTTACCAAAACATCCACTTATCTTTTAACCAAGTGGACAATGTTAATGAAAGCTCTACCATCCAAAAAGTTGAAAATAGAGCTACCCTACAATCCAGCAATTGCACTACTACTGGGTATTTACTCCAAAGATACAAATGTAGGGATCTGAAGGGGTACGTGCACCCTGATGTTTATAGCAGCAATGTTCACAGTAGCCAAAGTGTGGAAAGAGCCAAGATGTCCATCGACAGATGAATGGATAAAGAAGATGTGGTATATATATACAATGGAATATTATGCAGCCATCAAAAGGAATGAAATCTTGCCATTTGCAACGACATGGATGGAACTGGAGGGAGTTATGCTGAGCGAAATAAGTCAATCAGAGAAAGACATGTATCCTATGACCTCACTGATATGAGGAATTCTTAACCTCAGGAAACAAACTGAGGGTTGCTGGAGTGATGGGGGTGGGAGGGATGGGGTGGCTGGGTGATAGACATTGGGGAGGGTATGTGCTATGGTGAGCACTGTGAATTGTGTAAGACTGATGAATCACAGACCTGTACCTCTGAAACAAATAATGCAATACATGTTAAGAAAAAGAAGAAGAAGAAGAAGAAGAAGAAGAAGAAGATAGCAGGAGGGAAAAATGAAGGGGGGGAATCGGAGGGGGAGATGAACCATGAGAGACAATGGACTCCGAAAAACAAACTGAGGGTTCTAGAGGGGAGGGGGGTGGGGGATGGGTTAGCCTGGTGATGGGTATTAAAGAGGGCACATTCTGCGTGGAGCACTGGGTGTTATGAACAAACAATGAATCATGGAACACTACACCAAAAACTAATGATGTAATGTATGGTGATTAACATAACATAATAATAATAATAAAAAAAAGAAAGCTCTACCATCAAAACACATGACTATCTAGAAGGGTCTGAGTTGCCCAAGCTGTTTGCTCAGCATTGTCAACCCTCATTTACCTGCCAGCCAGGAGGTATGATGGTCCTGTGGGCTTGGGAATCCCAGGCTCTTTGAAAATGACCATTTCCTTGCCCAACAAC